TCGCAACCTCTTATTCTCTTATTCGCTTGCTCGTTCTCTCTCTATTCGATTGATCATCGATCAATCTTAGTCAATTGCGAGGGTTAGGGGTAGCAGTCACTAAGGCTAGGATAATGACGGGGTGTGGTTGTGGAGGTGTCGGAGTGGGGCGGAGTTGAAGCAAGGAAAGGCTGAAGGAGTGTGGAACAGGAACGGTGGCAGTTGAGATGTGTTATGGATAGGGCTGAGCAAGGAATCCGTGAAATCCGTAATCCGATCCAGTCCAGTCCAATCCAGTAGGTTTGGATTGGTTTTTTGAATCCGTGGTTCAGTTCTGGATTGAAAAATTAAAAATCTATAATTCACGGATTGGTTCCGGATTGAACCCCACGGTTCCGGATTGGAACCGGTCCGGACCGTATACAAATAGTCTATATTTTTAATACACACTATCCTACATAATATATTCTCTTATTTCATATAAAACTTAAATCCAAACATAAACTTGCATATTATCTTCTTTTTACTTTTGTTTGCTAGTTTTTAGTGTTAATTTGTAATGGTCTTTAATACTTATAGTGGAACTAGTTTTCTTATGGTTGTTTAAATTCTAGAACAGTTTGTCGCTATTATAAAAAGACATGTTGCTATTGTGAAACTAATATGGTGCTGTATTTATATTTTTATGAAATTAAAGTGTTATATATATATTTTTGTTATTTAACTATGTAAATACGTGGTCCTAAACCGATCTAATCCGTGTTTAAATGGATTGGTTCGAATTGGTTCCACGATTTAAACGGATTGGATTGGTTCTAATTTTTCAGAATTCGTAGATAACGAATTGGTTCTGATTTTACTCAAATCTGGTCCAATCCGGACCATGCTCACCCCTAGTTATGAAGGGTAGATGAGAGCGAGAGTGCGTCGCCGGAGTTGGTGGTGACTAGGTTGAAGGTAGGTAGGGCTAGGGTATTTTGGGCATAAAGGATGTGAATTGAGAAAATAATAAAAAATGAAGATGGTGCGGAGGCGTGAACTAAAAATAGTGTGTATTAAGATAAACTATGGTATGTAAATAGAAGCTCCCAACTAAAAAGCTAAAAAATAAAGGGGTACTTACGTGTAGGTCTTAATAAGTAAACTTATTGTTTAATAGATCCTATGAGAAAAATTTGTCATAAAAAAAATCACTAATTATAAGTTTTAACGACAATTTATAAAAATTATGACAAAAAGTTACTAATTGTCAATTTTTAGGGACGTATGTAAAAAATTGTCACAAAAAAATTATCTGTTAATGTACACTAAACCTAACCCACTAACCTAACCCACTACATCCACTCCACTAAACCTAACACACTTACCATCTCCACTACCACCCACCACCTCCACTACCATCCACTACCACCACTCACCTACCTCACACCTCTCCTATATAATAGCTTGTAATATACAAAATCAATATACAACAATCTTGTAATACATCAATAAATAATACATCATTATTTATCAGTGGTTATGGTGGAGCCATGCGATTTCGAAGGTCGTTGTTGGGGTCTTTGTAGACTGTAATGGTGTGATTTAACAGGGTTGGTTTTGGGTTTGACTCGATATAGGTGTGATATAAAATTTGGGTTCAAGTGCAGTAGTTGGGGGTTTGTGGATATGGCAGATTCAGTGCAGGGTTGTGGCTTCGGTGGGAGAAAGGGGTTATCATCTCTCTCTTTCTGTCTGTCTCTCTCTCTCTCTCTCTTCTTTGTCATCTTTTCTTTTCTATTTTCTGTCGTCAACATACTTAACATAAAAATAGGAATTTTCTCTCGTCAACATCCTTAACATAAAAATAGGAATTTGTCCCCGATGATAACCCTCATTCCTCTCACGTTCTTCCCCTATATTTTTAGATCTGGCGGTGGCGGTGGCGGTGGCGGTGGCGGTGGCGATGGCGATGACGATGGCGATGGGCAAGTAAGAGTGACGGGATAGCTGGATTGCGCCTGAGCAAGAATGAAGTGAGAGGGGCAATGGGAAGAGAGTGGAAAAAGGGCGGTGATTGAGAGAGGTCGCCATTGGAGGAAGGATGTTGAGGAGAATTATTGCCGATGGCGTTTGGGATTGTCGGAGGCAGTTGTATTGATGGTAACCGAAGAAATTATGGATATAAAAGAGGATGCGAAAGGGGGGAGAGAGAGAGAGAACGTGGAGAGATAGGTAGGAGATATTCAGGGATCAAAAGAGTATTTTCGTCTTTTCGTGCTCCAAAGCAAGGGTAATAAGGTCATTTAGTATATGCAAGTAACGTCGTTTGTGCAATTTGATTTGATAGAGTGAGAGAATCTTGACAATGTCAGTTAAAGTATGAGAGATTTTGTAATTATTTAAATTATAGGGAGATTCCTGCATTTATCATAAACTTTAAGGGTAGTGAATGTAATTTATCCAAAAGAAAAAGTACACTTTATTCAAAACGTAAAATACCGTATGTCGAATCAGTTTAGCACTCGTTTAGGGAGTTGGGATTAAAATAATCATAAAAAAATAAAATAAGTTTTTTAATTTCAAGTCAAAATATATTACATTTAAATCATGATTAATTTTTTTTTTTTTACAAAAGTCAAAAAAATTCAATTGAAAATCCATCCCAAATGAATTTTTTTAATCCCAAACTAAAATAACTAAAAAGGGAGCTTCTATTTGCACACCACCTATTCTCTCAATTCACAACATTCTCTCAATTTTTTTTAATTACCATTATATCCTTTAATTAAATTACCTACACAGTCCTCCCCCTCTCTCAACTCACTACCGTCGGCTACCACCTCCTCCCAACTCCACGACTGTCTGCTGTTATCTCCTCCAACCCCACTAGCACCGATTGCCACCCCTCACCTCCAATAGCACCATTTCCACCTAGGGCTGCAAACGAACCGAACCGAGCCGAGTCGAGCTTTGCTGAACTCGAGCTTGGCTCGTTTACTTATCAGGCTTGTTTATTAAGCTTGAACTCGGCTCGATAAGAAATTGGATTCGAGCTCGGTTCGTTAACATTAATGAAACTCGAGCTTGACTCGATAATTTTTTTAAATATTATTTAAATAAAAATATTTAAGTAAAAAATATTATATATATTATTTAATATATAAATAATGTATTGTATTATTTATTATATATATTTATGTATTATTTACTATATAAATAACATATTTATTATATAATTTAAATAAAGGTAAACGAGCCGAGCTTATGTGAGCTCGAACTTGGCTCGTTTACTAAATGAGCCTAATAGTCGAGCTCGGGCTCGTTTACTAAACGAGCCTAATATTCGAGCTCAAGCTCGACTCGTTTACTAAACGAGCTGAGCCGAGCCGACTTTGTTCATGAACAACTCAATTCATTTGAAGCCCTAATGCCACATGGGCGCCTATTTCTAACATCTACCCTCAACTACATCGCCTCTCCCGCTGTCTCCTACCTCTGGCGCCATTTTCCCTCTGCAACAACTCTCAAGCGCCCTCTTCGGCGAACCCCTCCCATCGCAACCTCTTATTCTCTTATTCGCTTGCTCGTTCTCTCTCTATTCGATTGATCATCGATCAATCTTAGTCAATTGCGAGGGTTAGGGGTAGCAGTCACTAAGGCTAGGATAATGACGGGGTGTGGTTGTGGAGGTGTCGGAGTGGGGCGGAGTTGAAGCAAGGAAAGGCTGAAGGAGTGTGGAACAGGAACGGTGGCAGTTGAGATGTGTTATGGATAGGGCTGAGCAAGGAATCCGTGAAATCCGTAATCCGATCCAGTCCAGTCCAATCCAGTAGGTTTGGATTGGTTTTTTGAATCCGTGGTTCAGTTCTGGATTGAAAAATTAAAAATCTATAATTCACGGATTGGTTCCGGATTGAACCCCACGGTTCCGGATTGGAACCGGTCCGGACCGTATACAAATAGTCTATATTTTTAATACACACTATCCTACATAATATATTCTCTTATTTCATATAAAACTTAAATCCAAACATAAACTTGCATATTATCTTCTTTTTACTTTTGTTTGCTAGTTTTTAGTGTTAATTTGTAATGGTCTTTAATACTTATAGTGGAACTAGTTTTCTTATGGTTGTTTAAATTCTAGAACAGTTTGTCGCTATTATAAAAAGACATGTTGCTATTGTGAAACTAATATGGTGCTGTATTTATATTTTTATGAAATTAAAGTGTTATATATATATTTTTGTTATTTAACTATGTAAATACGTGGTCCTAAACCGATCTAATCCGTGTTTAAATGGATTGGTTCGAATTGGTTCCACGATTTAAACGGATTGGATTGGTTCCAATTTTTCAGGATTCGTAGATAACGAATTGGTCTTGGTTTTACTCCAATCTGGTCCAATCCGGACCATGCTCACCCTTAGTTATGGAGGATGGATGAGGGCGGGAGTGGGTCGCCGGAGCTGGTGGTGACTAGGTTGAAGGTAGGTAGGGTTAGGGTATTTTGGGCATAAAGGATGTGAATTGAGAAAATAATAAAAAATGAAGATGGTGCGGAGGCGTGAACTAAAAATAGTGTGTATTAAGATAAACTATGGTATGTAAATAGAAGCTCCCAACTAAAAAGCTAAAAAATAAAGGGGTACTTACGTGTAGGTCTTAATAAGTAAACTTATTGTTTAATAGATCCTATGAGAAAAATTTGTCATAAAAAAAATCACTAATTATAAGTTTTAACGACAATTTATAAAAATTATGACAAAAAGTTACTAATTGTCAATTTTTAGGGACGTATGTAAAAAATTGTCACAAAAAAATTATTTTTAACTACAATATTATTAAGACTTATTTTTAATAGGATTTGATGAGAATTACTGTTGGGATCTATTGGATGTTTACAAACACACAAAAAAAGAAGTTACCCAAGTTACCCACACCGCAAATGAAGCCTTGACCTAAGGCCGTGTTTGGTATATGGTCTAACTCTGTGGTCTAAAAAAGTCCTCTCTCCAGTTATAAATCAATCCGATCTCTCTCCTCATTTCTATCTTATTCTTATTCCCAAACACCTCTCTCTCTCTCTACCGCTGTCTCGCGTTCTCCTCTCTACCGCTGTCTCGCGTTCTCTGGAAGCTTGGTCTTCAATTGCTCGATCTCCAATCTCTTCTGCAACTTGCTTGAAGCCCTAACCCTTCCTTCAGATCAGGTGAGTCTGATTTTTTCCGTGGTATTTGTATCTCTGTTGGTATATCATTTTTTGTTTTGATTATCGTTGCGATCGGATCGTTCTCTCTCTCTCTCAATCACTAGTATTGGGTGAAATTGTTGAGTTATTGTGGTGTGCACGCATGGTGCCCTAAATTTCGTGGCTTGATTTTGGTAATTCATGTGTGATTTTGCTAAAATGATTGTAAATTTTTGTGGGTTTGGTGTGATTTTCGTCCGATGGTAAAATTAGAGAATCGTTATATGTGTTTCTCTGGATTTTGATATAAAGATTTCTTCTTTTGAGAATTACAAGTGTCTTTTGATGTGGTTGTTGTCACAAATGATGATTATTTTTACACACATACATGATTACGTATGTGATTCATTGCGTAAAGGTAAATTTGGATAATCCAAATTACCTCATCTTGTACTACGTTTATTGAATCTTGTTAATCATCATCTAAGGTTTAAGGAAAATATTCGTAGTGGGACGATATGATAGACCCCTTGATCAGGTGAATTATGGAACATATATTCTTCAGTCATGATAATATTTATGATTTGTATTTTTGTAATGATGAATCATTGAAATTCAAGTTCCTATAACACATTTTGAGTATATTGGATAATTATTTAATAATCTCAGAGTAGCTTGCAGTAATGTCTGTGGTGTTTCAAACAAACCATGTAGTGAAAGTTTTTATAAGTGGACGTGACAACTCACCTTAGTTAGGTAGTTGAGAGACAAATGATGAACTTCACTAGTTCACCAATTAGTGTGTATTTTGCGATTTTTAATTTGATTGTAGTACCACATGACACAATATCATATGTTACTCCACTAGTACTTAATATTTTTTTCCCATTATTTATTAGCTTAATTTTAGAGTGATTTGTTGATTTTAATTACTATTTTAGTCGTTTAAATTTGTATTGACCTGATCGCTTAGACTTGTCAATACTTTCATTTTGACCCCCTCAACACTGGGATCCTGGTGTGTGCGAATATATATAGATCCCAGAGATATGAAATATTGACTTCAATAATTTAGATTATGTTGATGGAGAAAGATGTTTAGTTAAAACGAGTTGGAAAGTTGGATGGAAATTCTTTATAGGGAATTTAAAATTTAGGATCTTTGTAGAACAGGGAGAGGGAAATTTAGGATGTGCAGTAGAGAACAAGCTATTTGGATTTTGGAGCAAAACAAGAGCTAGAAATCAGGGTTTCTTATGGTAATCTGGATTTGAATTTGCATTTGAATGCCAAATCTAAGGATTTGGAAAGAACATTTTGAAATTCTTAATGCAAATCCTTTTTTTTTTCTTTTTAAATTTTTTTAGGCTAAACATTAAATCAATGAATTAAGGTATGAACTGCCTTTTTTACCCCTCTTCTTTTTTGAAGCAATTAGGCAAAGATTTGAGTATGACTAGTATTTATGCGTTATGCTTAGTATTTATTTATTTATTTATTTATTTTAAATTATGGATAATGGTATTTGATTACCAGGGACACTTCAAAAGCATTGACTGAAGTTTGGTGTAGATCAATCATTTTAAGTTCTTAATTGAAAATTTTAAATAGGTAGACAAATTATATTTTAAACAAAAAATTCTTTGCATGAAGATCACCCAATTTCAAACAAAGTATGCGATTTATGGACAAATTGATGATATGTACAATTGTTTATGCATACATAGTATGTAAGAAGCACATACATGGACACTTGACACATCACCAACGTGCTGACACATTTTTAAAAGATTTGATGCTTACATTTGTCTCATAAAAAATAGAAACTTAGGGTTTGTTTGGCTTGCATTGTCTGGCCAATTAATACAGTTTCTTGGTTGTTCTCTTAACGTATTCTAGTTGGTCTCAAGAATTTTCTGTGACCATTTGGGGGCACTGATGTATTGTTAATCTAATATCTTAACCAGCCAATTATTAAAGATCTTTAGTGATGCTTTGTCAGTTTCTAATATCAATTTTTGATATCATGTATCTATTATGATGTATGCTTCTGCAGTATAGTAAGATATAATACAATAAATTAACCACAATCCTATCCCTGGTAAGCATGGTTTTAAAAAGCGGTTGCAACCGTTACGTAGTTACGTAACGGTTGTGGTGGTTTTCGCCACCCGTTACGGCCGCTTTTGCAGCGTGATTGAGATTCACAGGTGTCGGTCGTGAAGGCTGCCGTAGTGGTCGTAACGATGCCGTAACGGCTTGTTACGCACCGTTACATAACGGTTTCAAATTGCTTCTTTTGAAAAAACACACAAAAAAAAGAAGAAGCTGAAAATGGAAAAAAAGAGATAGAGAGAAGAGGAAAGATAAAGAGAGAAGATGGAGGAACAAGAGAAGAGGGAGGATGAAGAACATGTTATTGATTTGTTGAAGCTGTAAAACTTATGCTATTCTATTTAGCGGCTATCACTCAACTATTTTGTTTGTGTATGTCTATCTATATATTGTTTAATAATAATAATAAGTGTGGTCATTATCTATTTGGCTTGGTTAAAATATGTATATGTGTATATATATATATATATATATGTATTTAGACTCTTATTTGTTCTTTTACTTTTGTCATTGTTTATCTTATATATAATTGTTAGTGATTGATTTTTTTTGTATAATATAAACTTATAAAGTCATTAATTATTAAAATAAAATGTAAAAAATTCAGTTTATAGCGATTTAAAAATATGAAATATGTTGGATCATACTTAAAAATTTACAAAAATTGATCAATATTTATTTTAAACCCAATAAATATGATCATGAAAAAAAAATATGCGTATCGGTAAGCTTTTTTCAAATTGTGCGAAAAATAAAAAAATTCACGGTTTCAGTTACCGCAACCGTTATGCCACGGCCTTTATACTCCGCAACCGTAACCGTGCCACCACCACCGTTACGGCGACCACAACTGTTTTTCAGAACCTTGCTGGCAAGTATTGGAAAGTGTTTGATGAGTATTGTGTCGTGTTTTTTGTGTGGTTTGTGACAAAACACCACCTTCGTGGAAGTGTCCATGCTTCTTAGCATAGTATCATGAAAATTGAGGAAGCAATATATATGTCATTTCATTCCATAAAATGAACTCAAATAATATTATTCAATAAAATGAAGCATAAACAAAAACACAGACAAAACTTTCTTATAAATGTGGGTTATGTTTTGGATGAAACATAGGAGATGGCGAGAGATTCGGGAGAGGATGAGGGTCATAATCATATATTAGAGAATACTTTTTTTTCCCCTTGGTGGAGAGGGGTATACTTCTAAGAGGGAGAATGTGAAAAGGAGAGCAAAGAGATGTGGAAGACTTGTAAAGGGGTTCAATGAGTGAAAGGTTGGGACTGTTGCTGAATAAAACTTCACAAAATTATGCCTGATTCTTTGCACCTTACTAGGCAGTCAATGGTTTGAGGCCCCCCTTTCCCCTAGTTATGGCTTCCAATGGACCAAGAAAAGAAAAAAAGAAAAAGACCAGGACTGGTATGAAATCTGCAGTTCTGGGCTAGAAAAGCAATTGGTGGATTTGTATGAATTGTGATCACTTTGTAATCAAAGGATTGTTGCTGAATTGGGCTCCAGGATATTGAATCCTCTTAGCTCATATGCAAAGATCCAGTTTAGCCCAAGACATACAGAACAGCTAGAAGATTATGGCTTGGAAGAGCAAGAAATTGGCTTTCTTGTAGGTAAATTTAAGAAAAATGTGAAAGGTTGTCAACTTTGGCTTGACATCATTACTGTTTAAGCCTTCAGGAGAAAGAAGCCATGTACCAAAAATTCTAAATCACAATAGAAACCTGCAACTAAATAGCAAGTTAAAAGTAGTTTCCCATGAACCATCAGGAATTATCAAATTTGTTTGTTGTGGTGGAAAGATTTGATGCTTACATTTGTCTTATAAAAAATAGAAACTTAGGGTTTGTTTGGCTTGCATTGTCTGGCCAATTAATACAGTTTCTTGGTTGTTCTCTTAACGTATTCTAGTTGGTCTCAAGAATTTTCTGTGACCATTTGGGGGCACTGATGTATTGTTAATCTAATATCTTAACCAGCCAATTATTAAAGATCTTTAGTGATGCTTTGTCAGTTTCTAATATCAATTTTTGATATCATGTATCTATTATGATGTATGCTTCTGCAGTATAGTAAGATATAATACAATAAATTAACCACAATCCACCTGTGATTTACTGATTTTTATTTTAAAAAAAAACCACTCGTGGCTTTGGAAATATATTGGACTGTACTCTCTACCATAAATTGCCAATTTAGAACTTGCATTACTGTGGGATTACATCATGATACATTATTTTTTCTCCAATCGAATGTTTTCTAGTCCTCCCATGTTTCAGCAGTAATTACTAATTTCATGTGATCCAAGCAATTGAGATGATGATGGCTAGTTGGCTTGATTTGATGTTTGTAGATTTTTTATTCCTTCTTTCTTGGTTACACCCTGATGGTATCATCAATTTTGTTTCAGTTCTGAGCACTTGTATTTAACAGCAAAAGAACATTTGTCTGTTAGTTTGGTCCCATCAATTCTAGCAGCCAAGTTTCATGTCTGAACTCGACGTCCAGATTCCAACTGCCTTTGGTATGTGTTTCATTCAGTTTTTCATTCCAGATTCCAACTGCCTTTGGTATGTGTTTCATTCAGTTTTTCATTTAATGTTTGAGTCTTTGACCTGTAAAATTGAATTGTCTGTCAGGCAAAGGTAGTCCTTTTGTGTAATCCCTTAGCACTGCTAGTTATATGACATTGTTGGGCAAGTACGAAATAGCGATTTGGGACAAAAGCTCCTTACCACAGGGTCCCCTCTCTCTTTCCTGTTTTCCTGGTCTGGATTAAAAATGTCCTTTTAAGAATGCGATTATTAGGGCTATGTCAGTATGAAATGAAATGAGCAATTCTGGAATTTGTATGCATATATCTTTTGATTAGCATTATGATGAGAATCAAACTGAGGCGTTTTTTCATTGTTATGAATAATAGATCCATTCGCTGAGGCAAATGCTGAGGACTCAGGTGCTGGATCATCAAAAGAGTATGTGCATATTCGCATACAGCAGCGTAATGGTAGGAAAAGCCTGACCACTGTCCAGGGTTTGAAGAAGGAATTCAGCTACAATAAGATACTCAAGGACCTTAAGAAGGAGTTCTGCTGCAATGGTACTGTAGTCCAAGACCCTGAGCTCGGCCAGGTGAGCTTGTGCTACTAGCTGCCAGTACAGTATGTCCCTCATTTCTGTTGCTGTTAATCTTGTATTCATATGCCTGACTTCACAAAAATTATGTATGGGACTCAGGTTATCCAACTTCAAGGTGATCAGCGAAAGAATGTCTCGACTTTCCTTGTTCAGGTAATTCCCATACATCACGTTGATTATATAAATCGTACTTTTAGGGCCTGTTTGGTAACACTTATGTTTACTGTTATTTTTGTTTATATTTACAAAATTTTTGAAAAGTGTAAACAAAAACTCATTTGGTAATATATTTTTACTTTCAAAAATTTGTTTAAAAAAAAAAAGAAGTTTGCAAAATTTATTATATTCTTGTGACCACAAAAAAGTTGGTTTCAAAATTTTTTTTGTTCCTTTTGTCTCCTACACCCTCCAGCCTCTACCTACTATCCAATGACCACACCCGACTACCGTCATCGGTAACCACCTTCTCGCAGCTGGCCACAATTTCCGACCGTTATAAAACCACCTTTGGCAGCCAGCAACAACCTCCGAATCACTACCACTGGCAGTCAACTACTTACTTCGGCCACTATCTTTGACCGTCCGACAACCATCTTTGGCCAGCATCTTCCGCCAACCGCCCTTTCACTTGTTTTCAAAACAAGTTTTTAAAACACGTGTATTTGAACACGTTTTTGTTTTTCATTTATATAAAAAAATATAACATAAACATGCTTAATGTTTTTTATACACGTTAATAATGAACTGTAAATGTTGCGGGTTGGCTGAAATTCCTGTTTTGACTGTTGTTTTGTGTGAACACAGGCTGGAATTGTGAAGAAGGAACATATCAAGATCCATGGTTTTTAAGTAGAAGCCAGTCACAGCAGATTGTTCCTCTGTGGTATCAAATTGCTTCTGTAATCAAGTATAAAACTATAGAGGGCTCCTAATATATAAGGCCTAATGCATGTATTTTCAATCTGTGTTTAGCTGCTGCTTTTAAGTTCAACTGTTAAGAAATGTCGACCAGTGTTGGTTGTTTTCTGAGTAATCAGTGTTTTGTTGTTGTAATTTAAAAAACTTAATTTCTGTGTAATCTGTGATGATAATGAGTTGTTGCTATGCCTCCATCTTTATACAGAATGATATTGTTAGCTGGTATTTACAAGTAATGTGTTTTAATGTTTTCATTCCACTCTTGCTTTTTTATTTGTATTTATGTTTTTATGGCCATTCCACTTTCTGTTGGTAGCCTTTTTTTGTGGGGCGTGTCAAAACACTCATTTGAGCGGTATATTGCATATTTGGAGTTGAAGATTGGGGAATAACTGCAAGCAAGCAATGGTTCTTGAGAATACATGTATGCATATGCAATCCCTGTTTGGCACCAGCTTAAAAAAGTCCTAGTTCCTTCAATTTGTTTTTAGATTTGTCATTTTATTCACTTTTCTAGTCTGTCTGGTCTAGAAAGATTTAAACAGAAAAAAAAAAGTTTTCAAAATAATAATAATAATGCTCCAAGAAATGAAATAAAATAAAATAAAAGTTTACTAGAAATTAAAAAGTTGAATGATTCAGATCTGTTTTTGGGGTTTTTAATGTATATTTTAATTTTTTCTTTCTTTCTAGATATGTCTAATCTAATAAAATCGGAAAGTGTAAGGTTTTAGAAAATTTTGTTTATTTATTTATTTTTTTGCTAAAAAACAAAAAAGAACTTACAAAAAATTGTGAAAAAAATACTTGACAAACCTCATTTGTTAGATGAATGGCTTTTACCACTGCTCAACTATTTATCTCATAAATCTAATAGTCAAGATGAAAAAAAAACCAAAAAAAAAAAAAAAATTTTTTGTTTGGTTTTAGTTTTCAAAATTTACCTTTCAAAAAATTATACTTTTTTGTTTTTTGTATTTTTTTTTTAATTTCACTATATTTTTTTAATATTTTAAGCAAATATATTTTTAAAATTTTTAGACACACCTAATATAAATACACTTAAAAAGTATAATATTTGTGAAAAAAAATCTTTAAAAAATTCATTAAATACCAAAAATATAAAATAAAAAAAATTCAGTATATTTTTCTTATTTTGGTGTATTTATTAATTTTTTAAAAATATTTATTTACAAATATTTTATAATTTGGATACATTTAAGTAAGGTCATCTAAAAAAATAAAAAAATTGCTTAAAACCAAACCAAACCAAACCAAACTAAGCCTTAAGTCCCATCAAATGGGATCGGCTACATAAATCTTTCTTTTCTACACAACTCTATCAAAGGCCATTTCGTTAGTCAAATTAAGTAGATCCATATATCTATTTACAACGCTAGTCAACGTTAATCTAGGTCTACCTGGTCTCCTAACACTACCATCTACCGTCACTGTATCGCATCTCTTTATTACTGCCTCTGTTGGTTTCCGTTGAATATGACCAAATTATCTCAACCGATTCTCTTTAAACTTTTCTTCAATCGGTGCTACTCCTACCCATTCCTAAATATACTCATTTCTAATTCTGTCTTGTCTTGTCTAGTCTTATCACATATTTACCTTAGTATTCTCATCTCAACAACACTTATCTTATCTACATGTTGTTTCTTGGTTCCCCAACACTCCATCCCATACAACGTCGTTGGTCTAATAGCCGTTCTATAGAACTTACATATTAGTCTAGTGGGTATTTGTTTATGGCACAGTACCCTAGACGCACTTCTCCACTTAAGCCATCCCGTCTTAATCTTATGGGCCACATCTACATCAATCTCCCCTGCCATTGTGATTATCGACCCTGAATAACGAAAATGTTCACTCTTAAGTAGTTCTTGGTTATCAATCTTCACTTATCTTCTGCTTTCATTGTTACTATTACTAAATTTACACTCTATGTACTCTGTTTTAGTTTTGCTTATTCGGAATCCTTTAGATTTAAATGCTTTTCTCTAAAGCTCCAATTTTGTGTTAACTTCTTCTCTAGTCTCATCCACTAATACGATATTATCTGCAAAAAGCATACACCATGACACATCATCCTGAATACTTATAGTCAACTCATCCATAACTAAAGCAAAAAGATAAAGACTTAAAGTAGATCTTTAGTGTAACCCTATGGTGATAAGAAATTCATTTGTCTCTCCAGCAGGCGATCTAGTAGTGGTCGCCACCCCTTTATACATATTCCTAATTACATCAATGTAACATTTTGTCACCCTTTTCTTCTTTAATACCCACCATATTATATTCCGAGGCACTCTATCATATGCTTTCTCAAGGTTGATAAAAACCATATTAATGTCTCTTTTCTCTTCTCTATATTTTTCTATTCATTTTCTTAAAAGGTAAATCGTTTCCATTGTGACTTGTCAAGCATAAATCCAAATTGATTCTCTGACGCCTCTGTTATATCTCGCAATTTGCGTTCCATCACCCTCTCCCACACTTTCATTATATGACACATTAGCTTGATTTCTCTATAATTGTTGCAATTCTGGTCATCTCCTTTATTCTTATAGATTGGTACTAAAATATTTTTCCTTCACTCATCTGACATGTGCCTTAGTCAACAAAATTTTGTTAAACAACTTAGTCAACCAAGCAACCCCATTTTTACCTAAACATTTCCAAACCTCAATAGGGATATCATTAGGTCCTAAAGCCTTATTTGGTTTCATCTTCTTAAATGCAATCTCCACTTCAAAGTTCATAATCTTGTGATAGAACCTATATTCTTGGTTTATCGTATTACTGGCTGTTTCTTCCCTTATTGACATACCTCCATGTTCCTCATTTAATAGTTTCTCAAAATAGTTCTTCCATCTCTCCTTAATCTCGTCATCCTTCACTAATAATACCTTAGAATCCTCACTCTTGATGCACTTAACTTGATTAAAATCTCTTGTTTTCCTCTCCCTTATCTTAGCAAGTTTGTAGACCCTCTTCTCTTTCTATCTCTCTCCTTACTATTCAATCTAGTGTATAGGTTATTATAAGCTTTCAACTTAGCTTCTCTCACTACTTTCTTGATCTCCTTATTATCCAATCTATAGCTCTTAAGGTTTTCCTCAATTCTATCATTCTACCACTTTTTATAGCACTCTTTTTTTGCCTTAACTACCGCTTGAACCCCTTCCCTCCACCACCAAGTTTCCCTGGAGCTGGGTTTCATTCCTTTCGACTCTCTAAGCACTTCTTTTGAGATTCTCCTCATATAATTGGCCATCGAGTTCTACATAGTGTTAGTATCATCTTTCAAGTCCCAAGTACTTTCCTTATCCATTCTATTTTTAAATATTTCTAATTTATTCCCTTTTAGGTCCCACCATCTCGTCCTACGACGCCCACCACCCTTCCAAACTTGGTATTGTCCTTTAAAACGTAAATCTAGTACCAAAATCCTATGTTGAGAGGCTAGGCTCTCTCCAAGAATCACCTTACAATCACTGCATTTTAGGCAGTCCACTTTTTCTTACTAAAAAATAATTTATTTGGCTCTGATCCACTATTAAAGGTAATCAAATGCTCCTTCCTCTTCTTATACCTAGTATTGGCCACCACCAGGTCAGAAGCCAATGCAAAATCTAAAATACTCTCTCCAGCCTCATTTCTATCACCAAAACTGTATCCATCATGCACTTTTTCATAGCCTAGTTTATCTATGCCTACATGGCCATTAAAATCTCCACCTATAACTAGGTTCTCTCCTGTAAGATCTCATCCATTCGCTTCAAAAAATCTCTCTTAGTCTGATCATCTAATCCTACTTGAGGGGCGTATGCACTAAGAACGTTCATTATATTTCCTTCAATAACTAGTTTAACTAACATAATCATATCCCTTTTCCTAATAACCGCTACTACATTTTCTACAAAACCCTTGGCAACTATGATTCCTACCCCATTCCTGCATCTATCCTTATTACTATAATACAGTTTAAAACTTGTATCCTCAATTTCCCTAGCTTTCTCACCCGTCCACTTAGTTTCTTGTGCACATGCTATACAAACTCTCCTCTTAATCATAACATCTACCAATTCTATCATCTTACTAGTTTAAGTTCCTATATTCCAAGTGGCTACCCTAAACCTATAGTTTTGGACTAGTTTCTTTACCTGCACTCGTTTAGAAAAATGTAGGAACCTTTGCCCATTTTTCACCTCATCCAGGTGTCGATGCAGCGCCCCTTGTTCACTTCTCGAAACACCCGAAAGCAGGCGCAACGCGTCGCTTGAGGGGAACAACCTAGCATTTAATCGATTCAAAGTAGGATTCATTGTCATAAGGGATCCGAGCGAATTTTTTTATATGTTGGCTATCGGCTATTTAACACACAACCCTCCTCCTTCAAAAAATTGAAAGGAAACCCACTGAATAATAATTTCATCCACCATTGCTAAGTACATGAATTTGCTAAATACATGAAAAGAAATGAATGAGCAGAAGTTAGATCAGTAAAAGTGAAGTTAGGTGGTTCAAGGATCTTCCATGCCAGCTTAGATCCTTCACATTTTGTTTTTTACTTGGATTTAGCACTAAATTTTTTTTAAAAAAAAATTAAAATAAAAAAGATAGAAGGAAAATCTAAAGAGATAGAGTTCGATCAATTATATTTTCAATCACGGTATCTAATGTTCTTTATGGAGGAGGGGTCCCTGTTGTGGACAATTCACAGCCGTCACTGCTGTGTGTTAAAACGCCATCGTTTTAACTTTTTTTTTTTTTTTTTGTGAATATGTGATTCATTAACTCTTCTTCCACTATAACAAACAAAACAATAAACCTAATAGGGACGTCTGCCATCTTCTGGGTCCCGCAGCCGTGTAAAGTTGAAGAAGTGAGTTTGTGTTAAAAAAAAATTATTTTATAAATAGAAAATATAATAAAATAAAAATAATTCATGGAACAAATCAATTTATGAAACCAAATTGTATTTTTTTAAAAAGATTAATTTTAAAATTAAAATCAAACAAACCATACATATTTTGACTTTTTCAAAACTGACTTAAATGCATCAAAAGTGAAATTGAAAGGGAAAAAAATTGTATTTGAACAAATCAATTTATCAAACCATAAGCAAAAAAAATGTAACTTCAATATGTATATATGTTTTGTATTTTATTTTGTATAGTATGTTAGTGGGTTCAACAAGTATAATAGTTTGGTTTGTTTTTTGTGAATGGATTAAGAAACACAATTATATATTATAAGAAAATTTCTTTATTATGTAATTTGTTTTGTACATATTATGTATTTTTGTATAAATATTATATAATTTTTTAAGGAGTTACGATAATTTGTAATGCATAATTTTTTTTTATAGCAATGTTATGTATTTTTGTGGAAATATTACACATTTTTATAACAATATTATGTATTTTTATAATAATGTTATGCATTTTATGGTCTAAAAAAAGTTTCAATAAAAAAATCTATAACCTTACTATAAAATGCGAATTTAATTTTTTGATCATAAATTTTCATAACTCAATAAAAAATGACATAACATTTGTGACAAAAATGCAAAACATATATCAAAAATTTATATAATAAGAGAGCATATGATTCACATCTTTAAGCGTGCCTGCCAAAAGATTCCCTATATTATATAATATACTAATTCTAATATAATTTTGCAATTGTATATTATAATCTACTCAGATACAATAAATTTCCAATGTTATTGTACAAATTACACATCTTTTTTTTCCTCTCCCCTATCCTTTTAATTAATTTAAATTAGTAATTGATTTATTAGATTTCATTAAATTGTTTGATTACTCAGCATTTAAAATTAATTAATAATTTTTTTTTTCAGATTCTTGTTTCGTTTAATATATATATATATATATATATTTTTTTTCCATATTTGTTAGTGTTGAAATGGAGGATAGTATAATAGATGATGGTGGACTTGAGGGATGCATCGAAGAAATGGGAGAGTTGGCCAAGGATAAATCACCATATCTTGGTATGGAGTTTCCATCAGAAGAAGCTGCATATGAGTTTTATAATGAATATGGAAGAATTGTGGGGTTTAGTATTAGAAGAGATTATTGTAACAAAAGTAAGAAAGATGGTGTTATGACTAGTAGAAAGTTTGTTTGTTGTAAGGAGGGAGAAAGGGAAAAAGATAAACGGTACACGATGATAAAAAATCCTCGAAGTGAGACAAAAACAAATTGTAAAGCATTCATGCATATATCTTTTAAGCGGGAGTTGTCGAAGTGGATTGTGTCGAAGTTTGATAGCAACCACAACCACCCTTTGCATCTTCCTCAATGTACTCATTTGATGCCATCTCAGAGAAAGGTATGTAATGCTCAGGGTATAAATATTGATATAGCTGATGAGACTGGAATATCTCTTAAGGCTTCACATGATCTTATTAGTGTTATAGCAGGAGGGAAGGAATTTGTAGGGTTCACGCGGGAGGATCAGAAAACCTACTTACGTGCAAAAAGACAACGAAACTTGCAGTATGGTGAAGCAGAGAGTTTGTTAAGATATTTCGAGCAGCAAGTGGCAGAAAATCCATATTTTTACTATGCCATTCAGTTGGATGTAGATGAGATGATTACTAATATTTTTTGGGCTGATCATCAAATGATAACAGATTATGGGCTTTTCGGTGATGCAGTGTCATTCGACACAACTTTTCGAACAAATAAGGAGTACCGTCCACTTGCTTTATTTTCTAGCTTTAACCACTTTAGAATGACAGTGATTTTTTGTGCAGCATTATTGTATAATGAAACTGCAGAGTCATTTGAATGGTTATCTGAAACATTTTTGAATGCAATGTCAAGAAAAAAGCCTGTTAGTTTTTTCATAGATCAAGATCAAGCAATGGCTAAGGCAATTTCACAAATCATGCTTGAGGTTTTTCATGGGTTGTGCACTTTTCACCTAATGCAAAATGATTTGAAGCATTTAGGTTACTTGTTCAAGAGTGGTTCAAAATTTAGTAGCGATTTAAAAGCTTGCATTTATGACTACGAGAATGAGCATGAATTAATTGAAGCTTGGAATTCTTTGATTGATAAATACAACTTGTAAGAGAATGAGTGGATGAAAAGAACTTGGAGAAAAAGAGAGCAGTGGGCGCATGTGTATATGAAGTGCGTATTTACTGGAGGAATGCGAAGCACACAACTTAGTGAAAGTCTAAATGGAACATTAAGGGGATATTTGAAAGGTGATCATAACATTATTCAATTTTTTACTCATTTCAATCGGATTGTTGTAGATAAGCGGTATGAGGAAATTTCTGCAATATATGATTCTAGACAAAAGTTGCCAAGAATGAAATTGAAAAAGTTTTCCATTTTAATCCAGGTTGCGAGTTTGTACACCCCTCCTATCTTTGATTTATTTCATTGTGAGTTAGATACGTCCCTTTGTTGTCAAGTGAAGCAAGTCCACGAGTTAGAAGGAGAAGTTAAGTGCGTGATTGGCTTGTATGGTAATGGTGAAGAGTATATTGTGGAGGGTACAGTAGAAGTTACTGGGCTAAGAGGAGAAAAAAGCTGTCAAGAAATACATTGTACTTGTAAGAAATTTGAGAACTTTGGAATTTTATGTAATCATGTAATCAAAGCACTTGATAGAATGAATGTTATGAAAATTCCCGAAAGGTATATATTAGGCCGATGGAGATTGGATGCAAAAGTTGAACAGAAAAATATTGTAGTGGATGAGGATGATCCGAAGTTGTTAATATTAGCACGTTATAGAGATCTTTGTCCAAGAATGGGGAAACTAGCAACTCAAGCATCTATGCACAAACCTGCGTATCAATTGGTTGATGAAGGAATTAAGGAATTGTGTGTAAAAGTAAATAATATAATGAAGGGAGTTGGAAATTTTGGTACCAATGAATTGGATGTGGATGACCCCAACTTTGCACAAGTTAAGGGCATAAAGAAGAAAGATGTTGGACACAAAGGGAGAGGTAGATTAAAACCTTGGCATGAGATGATGAATAAGAAGACAAAAGTTGTTTCACAACCTACCCGCCTTAGTAAGGTATGACCTACGTACTTTTGAAATTTCAAATGACATGAATTTATTTTTTTAAATTGTGTAAAGTATTGATGACTTTTTGAATTTCTTTAGACTGTTGGTCAATCAAGCAACACTACAAATGTTCAAAATTCATCCTCAAGCCAACCACAGGTTAGCTATTGTTTTATGTTATTTATTTATTTATTATTATTATTTTTTTTTTTATAAATTGTGTAATGTATTGATAAATTTAACAACTTATTTAGACTATTGGTCAATTAAGCAATATCACAAATGTTGAAAATTCATCTTTAAGTCAATCACAAGTTAGCTCTTGTTTTATGTTATTTGTTTATTTTTTAGACTACATTGTATTAGTGTATTTACTTTTCATGGTGTTTTATGGAGTAGGATGTTGGGAGTCTCTATTGGCCACAATTGATAAATTATGGGTATAATCTTCTCACACGTGATACTAATTCATACTTACCAAGATATCCACAATCACAACCTTTGTCTTTCCAAGCATCACAAAGTCCACAAAGTTCTCAAGTAAGTAATATATGTATATATATATATACATGTATATATGTGTGTTTGTAATGTAATTTAGTCCATAAACTTTATTCTAATGAATTTTCTTTTCTTTTATTTTTTTTTATTTTTTTATAGGGAATATCACTTAATCTAGTGAGGCACAATCTAATGGAGACCGAATTTAGAAATGAGAGTTCTTTTGATTTTTCTATTTATTCCCAACCGTCTCCACAAAAGTGACATGGGAATCCACTTTGTAGTTTTTGTTTTGAGAATTGAAATTGAAGATTTTTAGAATTTTTTGTGGATAATTTAGAATGGTTGAGACAGATTTTGAGATATTTGGTAGGAGATTTTGAATTTTAAATGTCTCAGGATTTTGTTTTATTTTTTTTTTATACAGATATTGGATGTGAATTGAATATATTTTGGCCTTAAGTTGGTTTTTTTTATTTTTTATTTTTTTATACAACTATTTTTTTTTAAGTTACATTTTTTTTTGCTTATGGTTTGATAAATTGATTTGTTCAAATACAATTTTTTTCCCTTTCAATTTCACTTTTGATGCATTTAAGTCAGTTTTGAAAGAGTCAAAAAATATATGGTTTGTTTGATTTTAATTTCAAAATTAATCTTTTGAAAAAAATACAATTTAGTTTGATAAATTGATATGTTCCATAAGTTATTTTTATTTTATTATATTTTCTATTTATAAAATAATTTTTTTTTAACACAAACTCACTTCTTCAACTTTACACGGCTGCGGGACCCAGAAAATGGCAGAGTCCCTCCCAAATATAAAAAAAAAAAAAAAAAAAAAAAAAAAAAGTTGAAACGGTGGCGTTTTAACACACAGACGGTTGTGAATTGTCCACAGCAAGAACCCCTCCTCCGTTGTGTGTTGTGCAAGTGATTATTTCATAATCTTTAAATATTACTTTACATCATTTGTCACTTGACGAGTACCTAGTTATCTTCTATGGATAAGATTTCTGTCCAGTCCTAATCTTTATTAGAGAGGATTGTTCGGACCCGTAGGATTCATTACGAGTTCCGTTTCGATGATTTGAACAGTTTATTTTATCGAGACCTTGCATCTATATCATTCATAAAAAAAATTCAAGTTGATCTGATATTCATAACCCCATCATTTTATTAGATTTGTGACAAAAAATTGATGATCTATTTTTAAAATACATTGATTGTTAATTTTTTTCGATATAAATTTTATAAAATAAAAGGGTTACGAATATCGAATTAATTTTTTTTAATTTTTATAGATGATATGGCTCGTAGTGAGTCTCACAAAACCAAATAATCTTCTTCAGTCCAAATTAAAACTGAAAAAAAGCCTTACCCATCCCATATAATGCTAACAAAAAATATTGAATCTCATAATTTTAACCAGTCAATCACAAATTGCTTGCATGATTTTATTTATTTATTTTATTGTCCAAAGGAGGCCTAATATATGTGGGCCCCAATACATGGCGTCAGTGTTTGGGGTTTTGTATTTTTATTTATTTATTTTTGGGGGTTGAGATTTTTGTATTTTATTGTGTGTGGCTTCTTTCATTTGTCATTTTGAAGTGGGTGACCCATAATGGGGAGATTCCATTTTTGCTTTTAACAATTCATATACCCTACTATCATTCTAAATTGCTAACCAATCCAAATCTACTTATCATGTTGTCCACTAGCTCTGCCTTGGATCTCTATCTATCCATTCATCTATCTATATCATGACTCTGCCTTGGATCTCTACCTATCTATTTATCCACATATATATAAGCTTATATAATTTTTTTTTATAGTTGATATAACACCACTGAAGTGAACATTATAAAAATAATAAACACATTATTAGTTTCTAATGAAAAGTCATTTTTGTTCAGTACCTTTTGACTTATGCACATGGCCTAAAGCGCTTCTGAGTTATGTGTGTGGTTAGGAAAATCAAAACAACACCACCATCACTTTTTCATCCAACAACACAATCACTTTTATTCATTAATTTGTTAGTTTGCATGTTCAAAATCTGTTTGGTTAACTTGCCATCCTGCACAATTCGTTGGTTCGAAACTGCTATAAATTTCATTCGATCCATCAATTTTGAAGATAGACCGGTTGGTTGTTTTTTTTTATACAGATATTGGATGTGAATTGAATATATTTTGGCCTTAAGTTGGTTTTTTTTTATTTTTTATTTTTTTATACAACTATTTTTTTTTTGAAGTTACATTTTTTTTTGCTTATGGTTTGATAAATTGATTTGTTCAAATACAATTTTTTTCCCTTTCAATTTCACTTTTGATGCATTTAAGCCAGTTTTGAAAAAGTCAAAGCATGTATGGTTTTTTTTTATTTTAATTTTAAAATTAAACTTTTTTAAAAAATACAATTTAGTTTGATAAATTGATTTGTTCCATGAATTATTTTTATTTTATTATATTTTCTATTTATAAAATAATTTTTTTTTAACACAAACTCACTTCTTCAACTTTACACGGCTGCGGGACCCAGAAAATGGCAGAGTCCCTGCTAGGTTGATTTGTTTTGTTTGTTATAGTGGAAGAAGAGTTAATGAACCCTCACATATTCAAAAAAAAAAAAAAAAAAAAAAAAAAAGTTAAAACGATGGCGTTTTAACACACAGCAGTGACGGCTGTGAAAAAAAAAAAAAAAAAAAAAAAAGAAGAAGAAGAAGAAGAAGAAGAAGTAGTTAAAACGGTGGCGTTTTAACACACATACGGTTGTGAATTGTCCACAGCGGGGACCCCTCCTCCGTTGTGTGTTGTGCAAGTGATTATTTCGTAATCTTGAAATATTACTTTACATCATTTGTCACTTGACAAATATCTAGTTATCTTCTATGGATAAGATTTCTGTTCAGTCCTAATCTTTTATTAGAGAGGATTGTTCGGACCTGTAGGGCTCATTACAGGTTCCGTTTCGATGATTTGAACAGTTTATTTTATCGAGACCTTGCATCTATATCATCCATAAAAAAAATTCAAGTTGATCGGATATTCATAACCCCATTATTTTATTAGATTTGTGACAAAAAATTGATGATCTGTTTTTCAAATAAATTGACTGTTAATTTTTTTCGATATAAATTTTATAAAATGAAAGGGTTACGAATATCGAATTAATTTTTTTTAATTTTTATAGATGATATGGCTCGTAGTGAGTCCCACATAACCAAATAATCTTCTTCAGTCCAGATTAGGACTGAAAAAAAGCCTTACCCATCTCATATAATGCTAACAAAAAATGTTGAATCTCATAATTTTGAAAAATGCTTGGGAGCACTAATTAGTGCTCCCACTAATTAGGTGGCAGTGGGTCCCGCCATTAATGATGTGATGTTTTGGTCTTGGAGTTGTATTTTTATTTTTATTTTTTATTTTTTTAATGCATTAGTGCTATTAGTGGTGATATTTTTAGTGGGATAAATCATTGTTGCATAATTTTAACCAATCAATCACAAATTGCTTGCATGATTTTATTTATTTTTTTATTGTCCAAAGGACGCCTAATATATGTGGGCCCCAATACATGGCGTCAGTGTTTGGGGTTTTGTATTTTTATTTATTTATTCAGCAATGATTGAGGGTCACAATTTTTGTGACTTAAATGGCTTGAAATTGTTAAAACGACGTCGTTTTGAGTACAAAATAACTTCAAAATTGTCAAAACGACGTCGTTTTGACAATTTTAAACCATTTAAACTATAAAAATTATGACCCTCAAACATTTTCCTTATTTATTTTTGGGGGTTGAGATTTTTGTACTTTATTGTGTGTGACTTCTTTCATTTGTCATTTTGAAGTGGGTGACCCATAATGGGGAGATTCCATTTTTGCTTTTAACAATTCATATACCCTACTATCATTTGCTAACCAATCCAAATCTACTTAGCATGTTGTCCACTAGCTCTGCCTTGGATCTCTACCTATCCATTTATCTATCTATATCATGACTCTGCCTTGGATCTCTACCTATATATTTATCCACATATATATAAGCTTATATAATTTTTTTTTATAGTTGATATAACACCACTGAAGTGAACATTATAAAAATAATAAACACATTATTAGTTTCTAATGAAAAGTCATTTTTGTTCAGTACCTTTTGACTTATGCACATGGCCTGAAGCGCTTCTGAGTTATGTGTGTAGTTAGGAAAATCACAACAACAACACCATCACTTTTTCATCCAACAACACAATCACTTTTATTCATTAATTTGTTAGTTTGCATATTCAAAACCTGTTTGGTTAACTTGCCATCCTGCACAATTCGTTGGTTCGAAACTGCTATAAATTTCATTCGATCCATCAATTTTGAAGATAGACCGGTTGGTTGTTGGTTAAGAAATTGTTAGCCCGCTGAGAACGATTTGGTTGACATTATTTTTTTTAAATTGCCCAAACTAACCATGCACAAGGACAGAACTATACTATGGACTAAGGGGTTTGCAAATTTTATAACAGACTAATATTAAGAATCTCAAATATTTTACTAAATGTTCTACTAAATGTCTTACATGGGTTTGGAACCCACATGAGACCTGTGGGAGTCTCATACCTATATGATATATTTGGTAGAACATTAAGTAAAATATTTGAAATTCTTAATTTTTTTTTTTTTTTTTAACAAGTAATACTATTTCTGATACATGGCCCCCCTCTTATTTCATGCCTTCTGCTCATATTTTCATCCCTTTCTCTGTTTTTGTTTATATTTCCATTCATTTATCTGTTTTTCCTTTATGTTTGGATCTAAAATTTAGATAAAGATTTGTAGAAAGAAAAAAAGTGAGAAATTTGAAGAAAATTTAATTTTTTTCTCTAATTTTCTCACATTTTCCTTTTCCTTTTAATGATGTAAACTGTTGCATGTTAGTTGTTAATTTATTTAGAAATTAATCAACTAAAACCCAACTTCCTGCCACATTTGTATAAGTAAATTTGGAAGTGATATTTTGAAAGTCTTTAACATTATCAAATCAGATTGTGTGAACAATGATGATTACTTATTTTAAATGGTAAAAAAAAAAAAAATTCATTTTTATATGCATCCCAACCGGTCCTACCCTCGTTGAAACCATCGTAATACTTTTTACTAGCCTCAATAATGAAATTATGATTCCATCCCTACTCGCGCACATTTCTAGTTAGAGGATAGTTCTTAAAAGTTTAATTTTTTTTAAATAATAATAATATATAAATT